TTATGGCATGTTAATGTAGTAGGTAGTATAAATCAAAACTTTAAATCCTTTTTTTTTTATTTTTTTTAAAGATTTTATTTATTTATTTGAGAGAGACAATGAGATCGAGAGAGCATGAGAGGGGATAGGGTCAGAGGGAGAAGCAGACTCCCCGCCGAGCAGGGAGCCCGATGCAGGGCTTGATCCCAGGACTCCAGGATCATGACCTGAGCCGAAGGCAGTCGCTTAACCAACTGAGCCACCCAGGCGCCCCTTAAATCCTTTTTAAAATGTTGTCTTAAGAATAGAAATGCTAGGGTACCTGGATGGCTCAGTTGGTTAAGCGTCTGACTCTTGGTTTCAGCTCAGGTCATGATCTTGTGGTTTTGGGAGCAAGCCCTGTGTTGGGCTCTGTACTCATCATGGAGTCAGCTTGCCCCTCTCCCTTGCCCTCTGCTCCTCCTCTCTCTCTCTCAAATAAATACAATCTTTATTAAAAAAAAAAAGAATAGAAATACTGGATTTCTGAATTTTAGAGGTAGTCTTTTGTTTTTAAAGTAGTCTACATTATGAATTATCTGGGAAAGAAGTGGTATTTTGGGGTGTCTTATGCAAACATACAGAAATAGTCAATTAATTCGCAGTACCAAATCAAAAATTGAATTACCCTGATTTTTTATATTTTGAATGTACACATGTGGTCCAGATCTATATATGACCGTTCTATTCACATTGTGATAGGCTTCTCACTTTTTTTTTTAATTGAAAAGTAATACTTGTATATTCATAGTAACAATATTTCAGGTAATACAGAAGAACCCTCATAGCCTTTTTTTTTTTTTTTTTGAAGAGTTTGTTTGTTTATTTACTTGAGAGAATGAGAGAAAGAACAAGAGCAGAGGAGATAGGGAGAGGCATACTCCCTGCCGAGCAGGAAGCCCAATGTGGGACTCCATCCCAGGACTCTGGAACTATGACCTGAGCCAAAGGCAGACGCTTAACTAACTGAGCCACCCAGGTGCCCCCTCATAGCTTCTTATGAAGGTAACCACATCAGCAGTTTCACAGCACAGTCTGCTAACTAAAACATGTATTTTTTTGTCCGAATAGCTTTGTTCTTAAAAATTTGTTCTATTCATTATTACACTGTTCTTTTGTTGCTTTTAATGTTTAAGTTTTTGTTAAAATGCTTTTGGGGTAGTTACATGTTCTTTCAATAGAAATATTATTTGTAATTAAGTTACATGGTTGTATCTTATTGTACCAACATGAGTATGTGTGCACTTTTACTATGCAAAAATGGTGGTGGTGGTTGTGCTGGGCTGACTTATAAGAAGGTAGTTAAGTCTGCAGTGTTGTAGATTAATTCTTCAAAGAACAATTAGGGTAACCTCTGAGCGAAGTGTGTTATAAATGAGTTTTCTAAAGAAGGCAAACAACAGGGGCGCCTGGGTGGCTCAGTCGTTACGCGTTTGCCTTCGGCTCAGGTCGTGATCCCAGGGTCCTGGGATCGAGCCCCGCATAGGGCTCCCTGTCGGCGGGAAGCCTGCTTCTCCCTCTCCCACTCCGCCTGCTTGTGTTCCCTCTCTTGCTGTGTCTCTCTCTCTCTGTCAAATAAATAAATAAATAATCTTTAAAAAAAAAAAAAGAAGGCGGCAAACAACATGTCAAGATAAAAAGTCCTTTCGAGGTTTGGAGTTGGAAAACAAAAAACTCACATGAACTTTAAAATAATTAGGGGACCGGGGTACCTGGATGGCTTAGTCGGTTAAGCGTCTGCCTTCAGCTCAGGTCATGGTCCTGGGGTGCTGGGATCAAGCCCCGCGTCAGGCTACCTGCTTAGCGGGGAGTCTGCTTCTCCCTCTCCCTCTGCTGCTCCCCTGCTTGTGTTCTCTCTCTCTCTCTCTGTCAAATAAATAAATAAATAAATAAGATCTTTAAAAAATAAAATAGGGGGAAAGTATTTTCTGATAGATGTCACATACAGAACTCACAGATCTCCATGTGATGTTAGCAAAATGTAAGGAATTAACATTTTAAAAATATACTTGTCAGCTTTTAGAAGAAATTTGGCCGTACATACTGGGCACTAGGGAAAGTATGTTTAAAACAGACCAGGATCAGGGAAGCTGAAACCAGGATTTAAAAAAATTAAAGATTTGAGGATTATTTTGAACCTGAAGTTTAGGTGAGCAATTGCAATTCATTCCATTTCATATCTGGAAAAAGCCCTCTCTTAAATGTATGTCTTTCCATTTTCTCTTCATAGAAATCCTTGCTATCCATAAGAATTTATGGAGCATACACTTTTTCTAAATACAAAAAGGGTAGACAAGAGAATTAAACAAGTATCTTGGTTTAGGTTTTGTTTTCTTTTGTAATACTTACTAATCTTTGAAGTGATCACCTTCCACTCACTGAAGAACACTGGCAACCCCTTGTTGAGTATAACCAGGAGCCTTAGTTAGGATGCAGGAGATTCCTCGCCTTCCCTTGGAATGAGATTTTCCATATTTCCAAGACATAAATATTACTCACTTTACTTTTGCCAGTATTCTCCCAATATTCTTCCTCTGTGCTTGAATTGGGTGGGGCTCTTGGGGGTTTTAGATTTTAGCTTTCTCTTGCAGGTACCAGCACCTGAAGTATTTGTCTTTCTTACTCTGAGAAAGAGCAGCTTGCACTTGCTCGCTGCCTTGGTGGCTGTATTAATAAGAAAATTGACAGATGGTCTGCTTCGAGACAGACCATTTTACTATGGTTATGTGAATCTGTCTCATATCCCACCTAATTTAAAAATAAATTTTTACCTGGGACACCTGGGTGGCTCAGTCGGTTAGGCATCTGCCTTCGGCTCAGGTCATGATCCCAGGACAGTCCCGCATCGGGCTTCTTGCTCAGCAGGGAGGCTGCTTCTCCCCTCTCCCTCTGCCTGCTGCTCCCCCTGCTTGTGCTCTCTCTCATCAATCAGTCAATCATCAATAAATTTATACCTTTTGTAAGCAGATGAAGTACTAATAAATTCTGTTATTTTTCTAGATGAAAATATTTAGTAAAATTATACACATACACTTTGTTAGATCTGGATGTCCAATAAAATAATAGTTTGTTACCATTTTACTATAAGATTGCAAACTCCTAAAAAATTTGAAGGAGATTGTCATGATTTTCTTTATGCAGGTGCTCAACACAGTACTGAGCATAAGTAATAAATATTTTTCATTACTGAACAGTATATATCAAAATCATTGCCTTTTAATTAATAAAATGGGACATTGAAATTTAAGGAAAATAGAACTGGAAAAAAAATAAGTGGAATATTTTTTATGAAGTACAAAGAATTTATTGCCTTACTCTTGGGTACTTTATTTCATATGCTTAAACCTTTTTTTATGCCCCAGACTTTTATTGTGGAAAATTTCAAAGATGTGCAAAAAATAAAATACCCAGCTTCATTAGCTCTGAGTTTTTGTTTCAATCTCTTCTCTTCCATCCTCAGATAATTGTAAAGCAAATCCTAGACACCCTATGATTTCATCCACAAATACTTGTTTCTCTAAGATAAGCCTTCATTTTAGACAACATGTAAAAATACCTATTATTCAACCAGTATATTCTGAATGCAGAGCACATTAACAACATAAGATCAAAATGTGTGCCTAGTGAGAAAGTGAAATCATTTAAAAAACTATTAACACACTGAAAATTCTTAGCACTCATGGGCTGATTTTTTTTTCTCTTCAAAATCCAGGCTTACTTCGTTTTAACCGTTCCTCTTACAAGTCCTCTTGACTCTTTCCCTGCACCTCCACAAGGGGGCAGATAAAGGAAGAGAAAAGTGAAATTATGTGACTGACTTGAATTTCACTTTTATTCACCAATCAAATGGAGTTGCAGAACATTTTTGGAGCAATTTTTCCGAAATAAGCAAGCAGACTTCTCTTCTGAAACAACTCGTAGTCCCCTCCTTGCTCTTCAGAGACAAAATATTAGATATTTCAGAAGGGGGTTAAGTAATAATCTTTTAAAAAATGATTTCCAAAGCATTTTCATAGCCTTTAATGTTCTCTGTTAATGATTTGGGCTTTAATGAAAATACAGCATTTGAACTTGTGTCTAATTTTTGCAAGCTATAGTTTTGGATAACTATTTTTGAAATTTCTCATTGAGTGATTAGAATGTTGATGTATTTAGCTGGACATCTGATTAGCAGTGGAAGGGGCATAACTACTGTCTTCATGCACAGACAGCTTTCCCTTTTCTTAACCTCAGTTTCTACATCAGTGTCCTTGTGTGAATTATATTCATGGACACTTAAAAGTATATTATGGTTATTTGAAGTATGGCAAAGATAGGATTCCATTTGAAGCATGTTTGATATTGAAACACTTGAACACCATAAAAGTTGATTTTTAGTCTGTGGGATTTTAAATGAATATCTATAGAGTTGTACATAAACTGATTATTTCTTTGTCTGGAATTGGTATTTGCATAATCTAATGTGTGGGAGTTTCTCTGCTTCACTATGATGTATATTTGCTCTTGTTCTTTTTTTGTTACCCAGTGAATATACTTCTTTGGGAAAAATACTATTTTTTCAAGTAGTCTTTTATGAGACTCACATTTTGTATATGTAGTTTTAGCTGTTAATAAGATATTGGGGGAAATGGGATAAATATTCAGAAATTGATTTTTCCTTTTTTGTATATATTTTGGCATCTGTTTTATATTCACATTTTTCATTTTGTTGCTACCATTAAGATCTCTGATTATCAAAGTTTTTATATCCCTGCAGCATGATACGTAATTCTGATGAAACTGTGATCTTATATTCCTGTAGCATTTTTTTTTTTTTAGCACCTAATGCCTTTTATTCCTTAGCTTCATGCATGTAGCATATGTGAAGAGGCTTAAACTGTTTCCATTACATTCTTTCTGGATTGCTCCTGTTATATTTAGGATATACTTATACTTTAGACAAAGTAAGAATGTTATTGTTGTTGACCTTGACACTAGATAACTGGGCAGACATTATATAGCTATGTTTGAATCCTCACAAAATGTGCTGTTAAAGCCAACAGAGTCCTGGCGGGAGACTCTTCTGGATAGCAGAGTTATGGAGCTGTTCTTCACAGTAAGTCTTGCTTTTCATCTCTGGTGGTGAAGGCCAAGGAAGAGTGCCACTGAAAAGAGTACAATGTTTTGTATTTTTCTTAAGTAAAACAGGACAGATTGCTTTCTCCTCTGAAGCCTTCTCTTCTAACAAATACATCTGCTTGAATAGAAATTATCTAGAAATGTTCTTGCTAATTTATAAAAATGTTATGTAAGTATGAAGAGTTGAATGTCCTGGAGCCGAAGTTCTCAAACTTTTTGATCTGAAGACCCCTTTACATTCTTAAAAATTATTGACGACTCCGAAGAGCTTTTGTTTATGGGGTTATAGCTATTAATATTTACCGTATTAAAAATTCAAACTGAAAACTTTAAAAAGTAATTAATTCATTTAAAAATAGCAATACGAGGGGGCACCTGGCTAGCTCGGTTGGTGGAGCATGCAACTCTTGATCTTAGGGTTGTGGGTTCAAGCCGCATGTTGGGTAGAGAGATTACTTGAAAATAAAATCTTTAAAAAAAAAATAGCAACACCAAACCATTACATATTAACATAAATAACATTTTAGTGAACAAATAGCTATAGGGAAGTTTCCTGAAAAGAGTGGCATTGTTTTATATTTTTGCAGAACTCAAATGTTATGCTTAATAGAAGACGGCCAGATTCTCAGATCTGCTTCTGCATCCAGTTGGTTGTAATATTATTACAGGTCAAGTAACCTTGAGGAGACTCCACTGTATACATGTATGACAGTGAGAATGGAAAGGGCAGATACTGTGTTAGTATTAGTATGAAAATAGTTTTGCCCTTATAGATAACCTGACATGATCTTAGGAATGTCTCAGGATCCCTGGACCACACTTTGAGAACTACTGTAGTATAGTAGTATACTTTTTTATGTACTAATTTATCAGTCATGGGTTAAGTTAGTGTTATTGAATAGCAATTTATTTCAATTGTAACTTTAAATAGTCCTGTTTATTATTTGCTAAATATCAAGAAGTAAGCAATATGTTCCTATGTTTGCTCATGAGGGTCCCCACTACAATAGTCCAAAGCTGGTGAAAAAAATGTGTGTATGGAGTGGGGAGGGATGCTGATTTGCTGTTAATAGTGCAAGCACACAAGTTAGTTAGATATAATGACTGGGGTAAAAGTCCAAATAAAGACCAATTAAGAAAAAAAGAAAGGAAGCCCTTTTACTTAATCCCAACCATTTTAGTTTCTTACCTTTTCATTTGTTAGAAAAACATTATTTACTATCCTTATAACTGCCTTCCTTTTCTGATGAAACCATTTAAAATATTGTAGTTTTGTGGTATATATTTTACAATACCTAGAATAAGGTTATTCATCCATGGTTATACATAAAAATGAAATAAAATAGAAATGTTCAGAATAAACATTACCTCACATTTTATTCTTTAAATCAGAGAAATGATGTTAAAAACACTGTCCGTACGAAAGCGATAATTGTAAGTAAATTAAGAAATTCTGTTGCCTGCCACATCTGACAGAAATTGTTTTGATGCATATCCAAGTTCACTTCTTTGTGTTATTCATTTGACTGAAAGACGATCCCATTCCAGCAGTTTTTGAAAAGGTGAAAAACTTGCTGGCAGTACTGGAAACAGCTCCCCCAAATCTGAACAGCTGTCTAGACAAACTAGACAGCTGCTCCTGTCAGCTGTGAACCACCCCATGCAAATAGCTTCTGAAGTTGAAAGTTAACCCTTTTTACTGTGTTATTTTAACAGTTTTGTGTTTGTGGCCTATTGCTTTCATTGAGTTTTAATTTGTAATTTATTACAAAAATGACAGTGGCTAATCGTTTAATTTCATTCATTTATTTGCAGTTATGTGAATCCATTACCTAATAGAAAGCAGTTTTCTGTTGGATATCCTTATTTCTCTAGATTTGAGTAGGTAGACATAAATATACTATTGCATGAATTTAAGACTTTAAATGTGTTGGTCACATCTGAATTTAGGAATACTCTAGGTTTCATTCTGTCCCTCAGAAGTTTACAGATGTCTCAATTTTTCTTTCTTCCATAAGGTATTAGAAAAACCACTCTCATTAGTTTTTCCTCCTACCTTTTTGATTCTCCTTGACCTCATTTATGGTCTCTTATTTTCTCTGCTTACTGCAAAACTTGTTAGTGTTCTCTCTTAGTTCTCAACTTTGCTGACTGTGTACACTTTCCTTGGGCTCTCTCTTCCACACGTAGAACTTGAAGCGCCACTTCTGCACTGATGACTCCTAAATCTATATTCAGCACAGGCTGCTCCAGAGTTCCAGAGCCTTATAATCCAAGTGCTTACTCGATGTTTTAATTTGGATGGCCCACAGACATCTCAGATTCAGCATGTTCCAGTAGAATTTATCTTACTGACTTGCTTCTCTTTACTCCTTGTCTTGCTTCACCATCCACCTCCTTGGGTGTTCTGCTAGACTTTGCTTTTCCGTATCCCTCTGCTTTTCCTATTCAGGTGATAAATTCAGTTTTTAATTTGTATAATATAGTTCAGTTGCAGTAGAACTCCTTTGTAATGCTGACATTGGAAGAAGGGCAAGAATCTACTATATTATACAAGAATTAATCATTGGCTTATCATGAGTTTTATATGGTTCATATTTCAGAGAACATAAATTAAGTTTGAACAGTAGTACATGCAGGCTCTGAGGCAGTTTATTTTATTTTATTACATAATCAACATTAGCTATTTCGGTCATCATATATTTTGGGTCCTCTCTTCTCGACCAGGAATGAGCAACCATTGAGCTCTATAGGTAGAAAAGAAAACCTCTATTGTCCGGATTGCATTATATTCATTGGCAGAATGTACCCCTGGATAACATGTTTAAATGTTGATTAGGTAAAAAGGCATGATGAGAGAAATTTAGTTATAGATAAGGAATTTGAGAATGAGTTGTGTTCAGAAGTTCTTGAATTGGACAATGTAGATATATGAATTTGTGTATTATACTTTTAATTTACTATTTAAAATTTAAAATGTAATAGGGTGTATTTTGAGAAACATTTGTGTTATTCTAGACCAGGGGTTGGCAGACTTTTTCTGTAAGGCCAGGTAGTAAATATTTGGCTTTGCAGGTCATATGTTCTCTGAGGCAGCTGTTTAGCTCTGCCATTGTTGGACAGAAGCAGCCATGATGATACCTAAACAAATAAGCGTGGCAGTGTTCCTATAGAATTTTATTCACAGTTATTAAAATGTGAATTTTGCATAATTGTCTTATGTTTGAAATTAACATTTTTCTTTGATTTTGTTTTCCTCAACCCTGTAAAAATGTAAAAACCATCTGATAGGCCATACAAAATAAGCAGGAGGCCAGATTTGGCCATAGGCTATGATTTGCCAACCCCTGTTCTAGACCAAAGAGGGTGGAATATTTTAAACATGTCAGTAGATCAGTTAACTTTGTGACTCTTTAATATTTTAAATTTCTTACAGCCTTAAGAAGTTCGAGGTTTAAAGATTAATGAAATCAATCTGTGAATAAAGATTTGAGTGTCTGTTCACTGTGTCCCCAAAATGTACCTGTGAATACTTAAGAGAAATATGGTAACTTCAAGTCATTTATAAATGATTTGCAGAGTCAAAGTGAATGTAACTTGAAATAAATAGAGAACTAATGTTTAAAATTCTGTGACATTCAGAAAGCAAAGAGATTTGTGTAAGAAAAGAAGGGCTGGAGAAGTCAAATGCTTGTGGAAAGTAGAAAATGGTTGCTGTTAAATGTGGTTGGTGGATTAGGATAAAAAATTACCTGTAATTTCTTTCCTGAGTGTATTTTCCTGTTTAATTATGTCAGATCACAGAAATGAAACATCTTTTAAAATCTGAGAATATTAATAACACACTAAAACTAGGGAGCAGTATTTCAGGAGCATTTCCTTCATACAGCATACTGTGCACCAGATGTTTCACATCAGTATTGCATCATTGAAATAAGATTTAGATGAGGTTTAAAGTGGACTTAAATATAATTTAAATAAAATTTTAAAAATTTAGCCATTATTAATAGCAATGGTATAGGATAAAATGAAATTCAAACAAATTGTGGGCAATCTCAGAGTAATGAAAGAGTGTGCTTATATACTGGGTGAATGTTTAGGGCAATCTCAGAGTAATGAAAGAGTGTGCTTATATACTGGGTGAATGTTTAGGGATTGAAAGGTATATTGGTTTTCTAAGTGTGCAACTGTTTACTTCTGCTAAAGCAGCATCTATATACTCTTGATTGAACTTGTCTGCTAACTTTAGCAAGAAGCTGTAGCTAGGCATAGTTAGCATAATACAGATGACTGTCGTTGTTGCTGTTTTTAGAAGAAGCAGTATGTCTGACTGGCTGGCATCTGTTTCTCTCTTTGTCATAACATGCTGGAGACAGTTCAATTTTCAAAATGTAGGTAGCCCTCAGTTAAAAATTACTTGATAAGTATAAAATCATGGCTTATAATGTAAAGTGGACTGAAGGACAATTTTCAATTTTAGTTAAGTTCAAGAATTAATTTTCTAGAAATAACCAGCTACAGTGAATTTTTTCTCTTACCTCATTCGGCATGATAGACACGTGACCCTTACAAAAGAAGAATTTATTTTTATGGATTAGTAATTCTTTCTAACAGGTACATCGAAAAATCAGAGAAGATTCAGATATGGCACAAGATTCTCTTCAGTGCCTTGCCCAGTTAGCTTCTCTTCATGGACCTATCTTCCCCGATGAAGGATCACAAGTTGATTATCTAGCACACTTCATTGAGGGATTACTGAATACTATCAATGGGTAGGTATACTTACCTTCATAACTGAAAAAGGAACTTTCAGTTTTTTCTTTGTGTTTAACATTAGAAGAGAAAAACCAGTGATTTTTTTTTCCCTGTTTATATTCTGAAGTATAGTTATATGGGTAATTTGAAATTAATACACAGAGACATGCCTTTAAAAATGAATGGGTGATAATATTTGCATGTTTGGAAATGAGTTCTTGGGACTTTTCTTCTACTACCACTTAATAATACTCATTACTTGATTTGTAGAATTGAAATAGAAGATTCAGAAGCTGTGGGAATCTCCAGCATTATCAGCAACCTGATAACTGTGTTCCCACGAAATGTTTTAACTGCCATTCCAAATGAACTTTTCTCATCCTTTGTTAACTGCCTCACACACCTCACTTGTTCTTTTGGGCGAAGTGCTGCATTGGAAGAAGTGGTGAGTGCCTATTCTAAAATAAATTGTGTCCGTTCCGTTTTTTACAAGGCAATTTGCTGTGCCTCTGCAGCATTTCTCATGACAAGTAATTAAGCAAGTGCTAGCTATTGTTAAAATTGCATTTTTGTTTATATGTGCAAATTATTTGTAATCTGTGTTTAGAAACATTACTTTTAAAGTCTTGTGGATTAAAATCACTTTAATAGATTAAATTTATTGGTGTCAAGATTTTAATTTTGAGATAATTGAGTGTCTGTAGGAAATGGAATGAAGTGTCTATATTAAGAATTATGTTGCAAGCCCATTTTAACAATGAAAATTTTAAGTTTAAAAATTGCTAATATGGTAATTTTACATTTTTTGAGGATTAAAAAATTTGGACTTAACCTGGAAATTATATGAACATAATTTAGTTCAAATGTAATCATGCTGGTTTTGATTAGGCTGTATTCTTTAATTTTTTTGATGCTGTGATTTAATAGTATATCTTGGTAGAATTTAATTTTCTTTAAATCAAGATCAACTAAAGATGTTTTTTGGTACAAGTTGTCGATTGTATATTTTCCAAATATAAAATTTAATTTAGGAAACTAAAACTCCTTGACAACACAGCTGTGTTTATAACAGTTACTGTGAATAACTACATTAATCATGGGAAATAATTGATTTTTTCCTCTCTAGTGGTTCTTAAATTGTTGAAACTAATTTTTCTTTTTATGAATCAAAATGTGGGTTTTTTCCAAAGATCGTAAGTAAAAAGAATATTTGTAGATATGTTTGAATTTTATGTTAAATCCTAACTGAGTTGTTTTGTTGGGGGTCTGGCAACATCTGTGTGAGTTTTCGTATCCCTTTAGGGGTGTTCAGAAGATAGAGGACTCGAGAATGATTTATGTAGTTGTACACTTTAGTGGTTTGATGAGTAAAGGAACCAGGTCAGGCAGATATTTGTGTGTTGGAAAAAAATGTAAGTAGTAGAGGAATAGAAGCTTAAAGGCATCATATGTGAGATTTGAATTTCTCAGGGAAAAATTATGTTCTGAGCATGGGGAAATTCTAAGTATTTAAACTTGATTCAAACCCCTTTCAAATTATCACAAATTCTGAATCAAATCAGGTTTCATTTTACATGGTTTCATTGTGCTTTCCCCCACCTTGGTTTGTTTGTACTCTGTTCTAAACCAGGTAGATTAAACAGTATGTTGATCACGTATTTAGAAACACAGCTATTTTTTAGTTTCTGTTTGTGGGTTAAGGAAGTTCCTAAGCGGGGTGCCTGGGTGGCTCAGTCGTTGAGCATCTGCCTTCGGCTCAGGTCATGATCCCCGGGTCCTGGGATCGAGCCCCGCATCGGGCTCCCTGCTGAGTGGAGAGCCTGCTTCTCCCTCTACCTCTGCCTGCCACTACCCCTGCTTGTACTCTCTCTCTCCTGTCAAATAAATAAATAAAAATCTTAAAAAACAAAGAAGTTCCTAAGCACTTTATAGAAGAATTGCTGGAAGATATGTAACATTTTGGTTTGCAGATTTTAAGTTTAGAATTCATTTATTTTGACCAGGAGACTGACAACTTGGAAAACAATTTTTCTGTCAAGATTGATAGAGAAATTTTAGAATACAGAAAGCCTAGATACACTGTCAGAGTTGATGTATATTGTGCTTGTTTCACAAGAAGGTATGGTGTAGATATGATATACCTAATAGATTTCATTTAAGAAAAGTGTTATTTCTTTTCATTTGTTTTAATTAATTTAATTGATCTGTTTATGATGTTTAAAAATGGTTTTAAAAATAATTGGTTACCGGGGCACCTGGGTGGCTCAGTCGGTTAAGTGTCTGCCTTTGGCTCAGGTCATGATCCCTGGGTCCTGGGATTGAGCCCGACATCAGGTTCCCTGCTCAGTGGGGAGCCTGCTTCTCCTTCTCCCTCTGCTGCTCCCCCTGCTTGTGCTCTCTCTCACTCTGTCTCCTGCTCTCTGTCAAATAAATAAATACAATCCTAAAAAAAAAAAAATTGGTTACCTACCTCTGAAACTAATATACTGTATGTTAATTAATTGAATTTAAATTGAAAAAAATAATTGGTTACCTATTAAAAAAGGCAAAGGGGAAAGATTTGTCTAAAGCTTTGTATTACTCAGAGTATCCAGATAGGCGAGGTTTGGTGAAGTTGAGGGCTAAGAGGGAGGCCCCCTCAGGATGAGTTGCCAGAAGACTAAACAAATCCTCCTAAGTGTCATCTCAACCTCATGTGGTTTTCATTATATCTTGTGTGTGCTGGGGGAGGGGAGCCTGGGGAATGTGCAAATAATACCAAAGTACATGAACAAATCTAGCCAAACCAAGGTGGAAGTTCTAGGACACAGGTCACATCATCTTTTGTTTCCTTGGGCACCCAGTGATTGTAGTACTAGTACATAATACATAGTTGTCGACCTCAGATGGAAAAATATATTTAAAAAATCATTTTTTAAGTAAAAATAGAAAAATTGAGACATATTAAAAAAAACTGCTTTGAGAGTCAGCATGATACAGAAAGATCATGAACATTGGAAGGAGACAGTACTGTCATGAGCCAAGTAATTATAAACAACAGAACCTTGGACAAATTGCTTAACCTTTTTTGAGCACGTTGATATAAGTAGGATAATAATTCCTTCTAGTGTTCCATGGGGTGGATTAACTATATGGAAGTGCCTGTACAGTGCGCACAATAAAATGTGGAATAGTAATGGTAAAAATGAACCTTTAAATAATAGCACTTATTGAGAGCCTGTAATGTGTAAACTATTTTACCAAGGTAAGACAAGTTCTTGAATTTTGTGCAAACCAATAGTTTTAATACTACTTTTCTTCACAATTTTAATTTTGTGAAATGTTTTGTTTTTCTCTAATAGCGAAGGAGGTTTTTTTGCCCCCAATAGGAAAATAGATTCAGCATATACACTTCTGTGTTATTGTGAGAATATTTCTTCAAAACTGTATTTATTTAGGAATACATACAGATTGTCTCCTTTTTTAGAAGTTTATGTCTCCGATGGTAATTATATGGCTGTAGCAAGAAAAAAAATCTCCATGGGAAGAGAAGTTTGTGATACTAATGTGCATTTCATGAAACGTGTCTTTGCTTGGTGGCTTTAGCCTGTGTGTGAAGATAGTTATTTATGACTGCTCTTCAACTTGCAGTGAACTGAAAGTGCTCAAAAAGAGTAATTCCAATCTTCAGCCAAGTTGTTCTGTTGGCTGTTAAAATTTCCTGGTATTACTTGAGGCTTCCTGAAGCCAAGAATTTTTTCATTGCACCCCAGAAATCAGATACTGTCTATTCCTGGACTGAAGAGGTGAGAAAACTGTAGAGATGGAATCATTGCCTTAAAAATTAAAATTCTAACAAAATAATTGTTCACATTATATCAATTGTTTTATAAAATGTTTATAATATTAGTACATCCATTTAAATCGATTCAGTGAAATTTGAAGAGACTATGACTCGAACTCTATACTCTAGTTTGTTTCTTGGTTTCTTTTGTCAATAGAAAATTTTAAGTTCAGCCCCCAGTAGGTTCATCCGACAGGAGCCACATAACTTGTTCAGTTAATTGAGCAGAGCAGCCAAGCACGATGCTTAAACCTTGAAGTGTATGTGTGTTTGGGTGTGCATGTATGTTTCGGGGTGGATATGTAAAGGAGGTGGTAGTAGGTGAACTTTGTAAAGAAGAAACTTTAATTGTAGCCTAAGCTCAAGACCAGCAGGACAAGGTAGTAAAGAGAAAAATACTTGATAAAGTTGTTAGGAAGTTCATTATAGAATGTAACGTGGTAAAGTAACTTTGCATTTTGTTGGATGAGTGAGTACATGTGAAGTTCAGCATTCTTCATTCAGAATCTATTTTCTCTGGCTCAGTGGATAATTACTTTGTGGGGAAGAGACGTAGTGAAAAGGGAAGCATCAAAGCCAAATTATAAATTGAAATTGAGAAGTGGGAAGCATAATTTGGGACATTTCAGTGATAAGAGGGAAAGCTATTAACTCACTTTCTGGCATGGTGATGTCCGTACAATATATACGTATAGTTGGCCTTGCCCCTTAACTCACAAGAAGATGGGACTGTTTGAGAAGCCATGCTAACCTCCCCACCCCGTGGTTCTGATGGCCAGGAAAGAATAAATTGGTGATATAGTAGAGAGCAAGACAGCTGTCCAGCCCCATTATGTGCATTCATTTCATCTGCTTGAAGGAGTTTTTTTTTTAAAAAAAAGATAATTAGATGAGGTGCATGAGTATTTCTTAAACCTTGCACATTTAAAGTATACTTCTTTTTATTTATTTATTTTTTTTTTTTAAAGATTTTATTTATTTATTTGAGAGAGAGAATGAGAGAGAGAGCACATGAAAGGGGGGAGGGTCAGAGGGAGAAGCAGACTCCCTGCCGAGCAGGGAGCCCGATGCGGGACTCGATCCAGGGACCCCAGGATCATGACCTGAGCTGAAGGCAGTCGCCTAACCAACTGAGCCACCCAGGCGCCCTAAAGTATACTTCTTTTTAATATTAACAGCTTTACTTCCATTAGGGTATTTGTTAGAAAATTGGCTATTATTGTACCTTAAATAAAGATTCTTTTTTTTTTTTTTAAGATTTTATTTATTTATTTGACAGAGAGAGACACAGCAAGAGAGGGAACACAAGCAGGGGGAGTGGGAGAGGGAGAAGCAGGCTTCCCGCGGAGCAGGGAGCCCAGCGCTGGGCTCGATCCCAGGACTCTGGGATCGCGACCTGAGCCGAAGGCAGACGCTTAACGACTGAGCCACCCAGGCGCCCCCCTTAAATAAAGATTCTTATTAAAGAAGTCTTTAAAAAATAATTTCACAGTTTCAGGGCACCTGGGTGGCTCAGTCGTTAAGCATCTGCCTTCAGCTCACTCAGGTCATGATCCCGGGGTCCTGGGATCAAGCCCTGCGTTGGGCTCCCTGCTCTGCAGGAAGCCTGCTTCTCCCTCTCC